CCAAATATTTCTCAGCCTTTCTTAGAGATAGCCCTTTTTTTCTTGACACAATCAATTGCCTTTTTTCCTCTGTAAATTCTGTTTCGTTATTTTTTTTTTACATAATTTCTAACCATTTTTAAGAGTTTTTTCCAGGTATTGGTTTAACGCTATTGGTTGATAGCCTAACAACATAAAAAATCAAATCTTGTATACCAATTTTTACAATGTTTGATGTTTACAGTCAGTGAGTGGGCTAAAAACGCCAAATATATATTTAATTATTAATGTGTTATATAAATATCACCAAATTGTCAAATGTCAACTGGAATCGGAAACGATATTAATCAGATGCATAATGTACTAAAGAGATCTAATCACTAAAATGTAATTTTTAACTAACTGGGTACGTAGTAATAATCATAACTACTACTAACCTAAGGACTTTAAATGCTGTAAACCCTAGAGTAGTTTAATCGCCAGGTCAATTAAATCAACATGCGAATTAAGTTACTAACGGACAGTACAATTGATAGCTGTCGAACAACGTAATCTATTTAATTGCTTCAATTATATCTCGGTGAAAATACCTGAACCGCATAATACTTTTAAATCTTTGTTCATACAATCGATTCAATACGGATAGGTTACGGACCTACAAATAAGATGTCGCCGACAAAATATTATTTTACAGCAGGTCACAAATCGATTGTCCAGAAACGGCAGTATTCAGGTCACATAAAGGGTAAAAATCCCAAATAACGGATGTAGTCGAAAGGGTTGCTAAACGTCTGGACGAATATGAAATAACCTCGCTATACGAGAGCCAATAATATTGAATACAAAATAGATAAAGAGAAAGGGAATAAATTTTTGTATTTGTTCGGGATTCCACAGAATCCTCTTAGATTTTTAAGTTTATCTCAGATACTGCAGCATCTTTATATAATACCTATAGACTTAAAAATAAGTTCTCTTTATGGGAGGAATCTATAAATGCGTCGGGATTGATTTTTTTTAAATAAGCCTATTCATAGTTATTGCACGTAGGTGTAATAAATTATAGATTTTTGGAAACGTTTTATGTAATAGCGGAGCTTTATACTGTTCTACTTTCGAGCGAAGTGTTCGTCATTTCGAGATACGAATGATTACTTGGAAGTATACGGCTACACTCTTCATGCTGGCAAGTTTGTTACGTTAGAAATCCAACACATAAGAAATTAATGGAACAAGCATTCCCTTGAGAGAAATTGGAGTATCTAAATCGGTTTCCGATACTGAGCAATTTTCTACAACACTTTATTCTAATCGGTGCGTCTATATTTAGTTATCGAAACAAACGCATTAGCAAATTAACAAACTGCAGTTATTTACATATGAATGTGGCAAATCAACGTTTGCGTTGAGTGAGATGTATACTGCCGAAACTGAGGCAGGAATTTATAAACGTGTAACTTAAACTGATTTAAGATACATTTTATTTCATACTATTAAAGTACCATAAAAGCGGCGATTACTAGCCATTATAAACAATTATTTACGCTTCATTTATAAACACTTCTACTGGTTGCTGCTTATGAAACTTCAAATCTAGCGGTTTTATGCGATCGATCACAATAATGAAGTTGGTGGTAAACAATGAGATCCATTTTGTGGTTTCAAAACCGCAGAGCTGTCACTTTACAGCTGTCAAATACATCTGACAAACCGAAATGTCAAAGTTTTAGTTGAATGTCTATTTAGGAAAATGGATCGATTATCAAAAGCACAACGTATTAAAGTTGTCCACTTTTAGTAGTAGTAGGTTTTAACCTACTACAAAAGTGGAGATTCAAACGTAGCCACGTTTCGCGCAATTAGAGACGATTTTGGCCTTCATAATCGCCCTACAATTTGAAGGAAACTAAATTTCTTTTTAATTGAATAAAGTATATAATAAAAGTAGTTTAACACAGATTTAATAATTCACTTTACCTTATATTCATTTCATTGTACTGAATCATTTAATTACATACCTACCTACTCTATCTTCCGTAATTAGAATGGACTGTAACAGTTATAAAACAATATTAGCATTTCTGTATATTTTACCCTATATTTCAACAGTCACATTTACGAACAGTTGAATGCGGCCAATGTTTCAACTTGTTAGTTACATTTGCATTTTTAAGTTGCTTACTAAGCTGTCAATGATGTCAATATTTTCTGTTATTGGTTATTTGTCGTGTTGCATTTGTAATGCCCATATATGGTCATGAAACGAGGAATTGAAAGCCTCATTGGGCAGAGATATGGATGAACTTTTTAGATAAAAAGTAGCATCCGACGCTTGCATTTTTTTTTGGTCAATCGTTGGGAGACATTTTGTAAAGGTGTAATTTTTGTTCCCGATGTGAGTGGCTTTTCTACGTTTTCCAACGGTCGATGTGTTATTAACTAATTAGCGAAAAGCATCTTTTAACCATCGAACCAATTAAGTTTGAACCGACCATTATGTGTGAATGTTCGGCACAAATACAACGAAAGGAATTTTAATAGGAAACTTTTAAGACACTCAATCGTAAGTGGATTCATTTGCTTAAACTCTCGTTACCATTTTCTTTATATTGTAGGGGACCAAACACATTATTATAACATTTCGCCTGTAAAACTCGACCATATCGAATCATCATCGAAGGTCTTTTGTGTATACTCTCCTGCGAGGAGGTATTCGTTGGGTAATCACTCGGTTGTAATAGTTTATTATTTTAGAGTTCTTGTACGGGGGTTACAATCTACCATTCATTTTTACCGTAGTCTTGTGACGAGGGAGATTTACTAAATCCGTGGAAGGAGCAGCTGTAGTTCAGTGTACGGTAAAGAGGCAGCAAAGCAGAGCAGAGCCAACACCTTTTTGTTTTGGTTTTTCGCTGGGTGATATATGTTTGATGAGTATTGATATATATGTAAATTGAATATTTGTTTTAACTGACCCATATCTGTGTTACCATTTAACAATTGCGGCAGAAACAAAGCCGATGATTACTTTTAGTTTGTACGCTTGACATTTTGGGGAATATTAATTAGAACTTCATTACCTATTACCATTGCGAAGTAATCAAATGTAATGTACAATCGATTAACTTCTGGACCCTCAAGCTACCGATTATAGTAAGTCAGTCATATTTGTTCTTTTTTTTTTGTTTATCTAGCCCAACGGTAGAGTGTGTCACATAATTTCCGGGATTTTGTTCCCATATTTTAAATATTTCATTTTTCATGTGGGGATACAATAATTGAATAATTTGGGAGCGTATATTTTATTTTGTGATCAGAATAAAGATCAGATATTTTTGCGGGTCGTTAAAGATCGATTTTTTTCTTCTGAACTGAAGCTGACCTTCCCAGTTTCAGCGGCTGTCAGTGTAAGTAATATAGAAACTGGGTGGCGCCCAAAAGTCCCGGAAACCAGAGTACCTACCGGAAGCATCATTCGAATTGGAATCGAACTCATTGAACCACTGAGAATTGTTTACAATATTTGACCCTATACCCTGTATAAGAGCCTATCTCTCCACTATTCAGTCAATCGAGCTAGTCGGCCGTTCAGCGGCGTGTGTGCGTTTGCCCCAGGCAAATAATTAGAGCGCGCTGGTTTTACAGCTTGCGCGTCATAATACTTTCCCAATACCTATCACGTGACCAATTCAAACGTTTGAAAGAATTAAGATTTGCATTTTTTGTTATTCTGTTACAAATGTTATTAATTAATAGTGTATTTTACAATGGCGGAGTTATTAGCAGGCCCTTCCAATCTTCACGATGACAGTTCAGATTCATTAATTTGCACACCTGAAGAGATTTCCGAGAAAGCCAAAGAAGTGAGTCTGCATTACCAAACAAATCGAAAAAAAAATATGATACTGCAGTACGATCTTTTTATGAAATGGTGCGCTACCAAACATGTAAAAAGATTCAGCGAAAGCGTCGTGTTAACTTACTTAAGTGAATTATCGGCAAAATACAACTCCTCAACTTTATGGCGATACATTCGATGTTAAAAGCGACGCTATCAGTACGACAGAATCTAGATATTGGAAGTTACGTAAAGGTAATAGTAGGGGAGCTAGCACGAAATCCACTGAACGAGAATGATCAAAATTTTAACCGATGGAGTTCCATTTTGCCCTATCAGAGTATGCTAAAATCGATCGTCTGCCGCCTTAGGTCATATGACTTAAGGCGCTGCGGGTACTTCTTGCGGTACCAATTCTGAAAGGTTGTTTTTCGAGAAAATAAGTTATACACCAAATGAAAACGTTGATAATGGCTCTTAAAAAAATATTTAAAAAAATCGCGCACATTTGATAACTCCGTAAAAAAACAATTCTTAGTCGGTTTTTCACGAACTTTCTACGGATATAACTAGGTTACGGTTAGACGAATGAAGCTGATTTTTTCTACAGACTGATGATAGGTACTACTAATGACTTAACGGTGGTTCGTTTTTAAATTTGTTCTCTAATTATAAGATTATCTTATCATCTTAACATTATAAGATATCTTCTAATTAGAGAAAAAATGTAAAAAAGAAACACTCTCATATCCATTGGCTGTGCCCATCATTATAGTCTGTAAAAAAAATCAGCTTCATTTATCCGACAGTAACCTAGTTATAACCGTAGAAAGTTCGTGAAAAACCGACTAAGGATTATTTTTTTACGGAGTTATCAAATGTGCGTGATTTTTTAAAATATTTTTTTAAGAGCTATTATCAACGTTTTCATTTGGTGTATAAGTTATTTTTTCGAAAAACAACCTTTCAGAATTGGTACCACAAGAAGTACCCGCAGCGCCTTAAGTCGTATGACCTGAGGCGGCAGACGATCGATTTTAGCATACTCTGATAGGGCAAAATGGAACTCCATCGGTTAAAATTTTGATCATTCTCGTTCAGTGGATTTCGTACTAGCTCCCCTACTATAAATGCTTTCATGAAAAAATAATCAGTAGGCCCCATTTCAAAAAAATCTAAAACGTTTACGTCAACTGAAGTCAATATGTTCATAAGAGATGCACCAGATGACACGTATTTAATGCTAAAGGTAAACATTCGTCACTTAAACTAATCATACAATGATCACAGGTTGTTCTAATAATTGGAATCAGCGGAGCTTGCAGAAGGGATGAACTGACCAATTTCTGCACAAATAAGATCCAAAACAAGGATGGCGTTCTCATTGTGCACATTCACAACAACAAAAAGCAATAAAGAGATAACATTTATAATTTGCAACTCCAATGATACAAGGGCAACAAACGTGGTGACAATGTGTAAAAAATATTTTAGTTTACGACTCACAAACTTGAATTCGAACCGATTGTTTATTATAATGCTGGAAAATGTGTTGGGTCAAACGTTGGTTACCACACAATTGATTGTATTCCATCGGATACACTTCTTGTAGACTCAGGTGCGGATATACTCACCTTAAAAAGACATGGCGGATGGAAAAGCAGTTGTATGGCGGAAGGATACCCTGGGTATATTAAGGAATGGCTTAAACATTCACCACAAAGATTGAAAAAAGAAAATAGAAAAACCAATTAAATCTAGCTACAACTTTGATGGTTCGTTTTGTTCTCTTTTTTATAAAATTTTGTTCTAATAAAAAATAAAGTATCTTTGTTTGCAGTTTTGGTATCCAAGTTAAAATGTACAAACGAAAAAGAAAAAAATGTGTTAATCCGAGGCATATGTACAGCCCAATAGCAGAATCGGTGGAGTAACTGGGTTATTTTATAAAATATCGTTACGGTACGATCCGTTGGGGAACGATAACCGTTCAGTGTCTGAACGATGATGCTCGGAACGATATCGCTAAGCAATCGTATTTTGTAACTCCTTCCGTTACGAGTTGACCTTAAACGCTTGCCCGAACGAGCAGCTTTGTATTTATGAATGAATAGTAACACTTGCTGCAAACTTCATGTTGTTCTTGCCACCGGTTTGACAGTTCAACTGCTGACATTTCACGTGTGTTTGTTGTGATTCAGTGTTGTTAGCCATTCACCACGTGCTGCCGTATTCAAAAAAGTTACAAAATGAGTACACAGATTACGTCCAAAAAGGCCCGCTCGTCGAAAATAACTGCTGGACAATATTCGCTGTATTTAGAAGAACTGCAAGCGAATGAATCGTTTCGAACTATTAAGTTCAACCCCAAGAACCCCAGCATCTTGGATGAAACGTGGAATTCGCTTGCAGTGAAGCTAAATGCTGCAGGTGGACCCATTAAAACGGTCCCCCAGTGGAAAGAAGTGAGTTATTTCTCCATTGTTTGTTATATTATACTTATTGTACACATTTTCAGAGATTTGCGGACTGGAAGTGTAACGTCAGGAAGAAAGCCCGAAAGCTTGAACTTTCGAGGGTTCGAACTGGCGGAGGACCACCTGATGTTCCACTTTCAGATCTGGAGAATCGACTGTTGAATCTGAGCGGTAGGGCTGTCGTTAATGGCATTGAAGGGATTCGGGAACTTGGCTATGGTGAGTTGAGATAAGTAGGTACAGATCATTATTTTTAACTAAATATCAATATTGCTACAGATAATCCCATTGAAGCACATGGGGCAGTCCAGCCACCTCCAGCAGTCCAGCCACCTCCAACAGTCGAACCACCTCCAGCAGTCGAGCCACCTCCAGCAGTCGAGCCACCTCCAGCAGTCAAGCCACCTCCTGCAGTCTATCCACCTGAAGCAGTTCGGGCACCAGCTACGAAGAAGAAGTTGACTCTGGCGGCATCTGTACGAACTTTAATGGACGATGCCACCAGAGATTCAAAAAAAACAACGCTTGAAGAAGTAAACGAGAGTTTAAAGCAAGTCGTTGAACTTGAGCAGGAGAAGGTCAAGGTGAAGAAGGAGAAGCTGGCCATTGAGAGGATGAAACTTCAAATGAAGTACCCCGACAGAGAATTTGTGTTTGATACTAATTGTGATTAGTAAATGTATAAATTGTACCTATATATGTATTAAAGTTTTCATTTAAGTTGTATATATTGTTTATTAGACATTGTTGAAGCATTGTAGTTGCAGTTTCGTTAACGATTTGCAAATTATCTTACTTTCGTGAAGGAAGTTAGGTATTTGATAAGTTCTATTTATTTTGTTAGTTGCAATAAACGTATAATTTATCTCAAGTGCTGCATTATCACTTGATTCCTTATTCGTCGTCCTTGCTGTAGCAAATTTTCTTCATTTTCAATTATGGGATGTTGTTGAGGTTGATCACCATACACTAAAAATTAAATTAATAAATAATACATTTTTGTGAGTTGCATGCTTGCCTATCTGAATATTGTCATATACAATATTCCTCATCCGCAAAATATGTAATATCGCACAAGCATACACAATTTTGGCAGCAGTAGGTGGAGTATAATGAAGCACACGATCTTTAAGTAAACACCTAAAATATGCCTTCAAAACCCCAATACACCTTTTTTTTTACACCATTTACTTTTTCATTAGTATTTTCCCTTATATGTTTCAAGTGGGTTTTCATTTTAGTCATATCAACTAAAATTACAATAAATGATAAAATAATGAAACATTCTGCGAGGTAGCTTACCTGATAATTTGCACAACTGTTGTGCAATAGAAAAGAGAAGATTATTCCCATCAAAAGTGCAGTTGTGTTTGGTTTTTATATCACAGTTCACATTCACATTCTCAAAAGCAGACAATGAAAATGTGCTGTGGGAGTGAACGACAGGGTCATTATTTTGAGCAGAACTTGAACTCGGATTTGAAGCCAGTTCAGAAGGTGGCAATGTTGTCCTTTTGTGAGGTGCGGGTGTCGAGGCTTGCTTATTGTATTTTACAGAAAATGAAGGTGGAACTGTAGGGTAATGCGATTCCTCCAATAACTCCTTAGAATTATTGCGGTTTCTTGGCGAATTTTCCTCTGAGTCACATTCACCATGAAACTTGGTTTCTTTTTTTTGGCGATGTCCTCTGCCTTTTTCGTCATCTGAAAATAATGGTGCTTTTTTTGCTGCTCTAAACATCATTTGCAGAGCTTTGTTGTAATTGCCTGTAATACAAAAAATAACAACCTGCAAATTTAAAACATTTAACGTACCAATTTCATTGTGTATTATTTGTATCTGCATCTCTTCCCAGGTTTTATCTGGCGAGGCATTACTTTTTACTAAAAACTTCACCTTTGATGCCTTTTCTTGGGGAAATACGCATGTAGTGTTGTTAACAATCCATGATGTTGGAATGACATCGTAATCATTATCATCATCATCGTCAATAAATTGTATAAGAGTCCACATTCTACAACAACAGTCTACATAACATATAGAATAAGATTACGTAGTATAGTCGTGCCTATTAATACTATAAAATATAAATGAAACTGGAGTGTAGCTAAATATCTCCAAAAAAAAGAAACAAAATCTAAATTAAACTGTGAGTAGGTATAGCTTAAGAATAGGTATGTAACAGTGGAAATGCTACGACAAAGTCCTTACGTGGCAGTGTAATATATTTTACAGATACTTCTTTAACATCAAACATATTTAATTGAGACAATTTCGAAAGTTTGTAGATATCTAAATTATTACTTTGACAGGGAACCCGATAAAAATAATTTTTTATTAAGTACTTACGCCCTAAAATTACAAATGAATTGCTGATAGTCACCGTTTACTAATCTACAGCAATTATTGGGAGCTGTAGTAGAAAGAGTAAAGGAACGGAAAGAAATTTTTTTGTATTGTGGATTTCCACAATTGGGCAAAAGTGGACCACTTTGATGAGAAATTAACATTTTTGGTGTATCCGTATTATGAATAGGATCTATAGGCGAACCATAACAAAATTTTTCACTAATCCTATTTATAATCTGTTCCAAAGGTGCGTTCTTCGCCCTTACCATTCTCTTAATTTGCTGCATATAATTCTCGAATGGAAAAGCAGATATACTGTCTAAAGAAAAATCAGGGATTTTGCCTATAAAGTAATCAGCATCATCAGTCAAATGAATAAGTCCATGAAAGTTATGAGTCATCAAATCTGGACTATATAAAGTTTGCACATTTTTAATAAAATTAATTAGTAAGCACCTAGCATACTGTCTCTGATCTTTATCTTTGCATCTAAATGTATTGCACAAAATTGAAATGGCCACATGTAAGGTAATGAAATTGTTATATTTTTCAGGATCTAGAACGCCTTTTAAAACAACAGGGCCGAAATACAATAGAAACATTCGAAATTCTGTGGCTTTCCATCTAAGAACATATTTTATTTCTCTAGGTTTCCTCACAAAATCAGTTGGTGTATTTTGAACCAATTGTAATAAATTATTAGAAATTGTTGAAATATTTTCAAATGAAAGCCTGTGAGGTAAATCTCCAGAATACCATGTCACAATTAAAGTTCGCATTACCCCCAGACATACCAAATGCATATAGTCTAAGACAAAACCATTTACAAAATCTAAATTTGGTATTTTAACTAAAGAAGTGTCATGTAATCTGTATGATGGATCAATCCAATTAATAAAGTCACTGTTAGTTCTAGCAGCACAATTAGTTTCTAAAAAAATTCTTCTGTGGTTTCTCGTTTCTCCAACTACAGTACAACGTGTACAAGAAGAATAACCACTGTGTCCTTTAACGCCTAACACATCACTTTTAGCTGGAGCATCACACACAAAACCAATTATTCTTACAATAACATTTGTCATATTCAACAACCATTTTGGATTAAATCTACAGCTTCAGTAACAAAGTCATTCAAAAACGCTGACATACTCTTAGGTTTTTGTAACCCATAATAAAAACCCAAGGGAAAAACTTGACCTTTCAATTGAACTATTGTTGGAATAGAAAATAAGATGGGAATTAGTTGCCCGGGGGAACTTTTAAAAAGTGGCAACCCGTCAATATTTATTAATAAATCTATTGTAGTGATGGATAACGATGTCAAAGGCTCAAAAATTACTTTTAATTGGTGCTTTAGGCCAATATGCACATATTGTCCCGGATCAACAGGCTTAGATGATAACAACCGTTTCACTTTTAAGAGAGTTCTTCCATCAGTTGGGAGACGAGAAAAACAAGAATGTTTTTTTAATCCCACAAGTAAAGAAGATAGTGCAGATGTTGTACAATTGGTATTCAACGCCCACTCTTGTAAAAAAATTGTAATATCTTCTAATTCGGTCTTAGGATTAGTATTCGATTCTACATCAAACAGACTAGCCGTACTGCTCTCTGAATCTGTAGATGAAAGCTTTAACATATTTGAAGATGGTGAACTTGATGAAACAGACGTAGCAAGAAGATTGGAACTAGTTTGGGATGTTTCAAAGTTTGAATCGAGGTTAGAATCGAATGCACTTTGATTATGCATGGATCGTGTTACAGATTCGCTGTGAATGGCCTTCTGATCATCAGATAAGCTGACTGTTTCAATATCTTTATCTGCATTGCTTAAATTGGTACTATCATCCTCATCATCAGTATCATACATCCTTCTACGTTGACTGCGAGCTGACAGTAACTTAAACGGTAATTTCCTTCTCTTTGACATTGCAATTTATTCTTTGAATATACAGCACGACTATAACAGGTACCATGCAAGGTTATAAGTAACAGGAATCTAAAATTACACTTACCTAAATAGAGTATTGGAGTTGGCTTATGTAGGTAAGTAGTTATAATTCACCGGCGGAAAAACACTCAAAAATTTAGCAACTAAACTAATAATAAAATGAATAAATTAATGGAGCACAATATAGCAAATGATACCACACACTTAAATTAACACGAACAAATTAAGGAACAATAAACCGTGTAGTAAACAATTCGTTGCAAGTGAGGTTAAGTATAAGACGAAGCCGTTAAGCGTTCTGCGCAGTGCGCACTGCACCAAGAGTGCGTGGTTCACAACACGTGATTAGGTATTCAACAACACTTTTTTTAAATATTTTAGAAATATTGCACCTGCATACATTTTTCACAAAATGTGTAAAAAATGTTTGCAAAATATATCTCCCAAAAATATTTACAGTAAAACATTTTTGTAATATATCTAAAACGTTTTTTGGAAAAACATTTTCCATATCAAGCTTATTTAAATGTTGTTACGTTTTTAAAACATTTTTCTAATGTTTTCTTGTTGACTGGGAAGGAATGTCTATGATTTCTATTGATAAAAATTCGACCAGGATATGCATCATGCTGGAGGTGGAACAATCAATATATGGGTTCCGTCAATACATCCCACTATTCCTGGGAAGCCAAACTTTTCAAAAAACCTTAAAATTATTACATCAGAATTCAGATGGTTAATAAAAATGATTTCTATGTGGAATAGGCTGGGGAAAAAAAGAACTGACCGTATTTCATAACTGTTTAAGTTATTCCCTACCCTCTTTTAACTCTGGTAACGTCTCATATTTCTAGGAAATCGTATGTAATTTGCAGCTGCATGTTCCAATAAAGTGTTTATAATCTGATTGATACTTTTGCTCACTTCACTTTGTGAAACACTGCAGTGCTGATCTTTGCCTACAGATTTCTGGTAGCTGCCTTGTGCAAAGAAATGTAGGGCTGTTATAAACTGGAGAGTTTTAAAAATTGAAAATATTTAACTTGTGGTTAATATAGGTAATTCCCATTCATACCCGAACAACTGATGGAATTTTTGTAACTCTTCTACCCTGGTCCATGTGTGGTAACAATTCCAAATACAGATCCCTTGCAGCCTCTCTACTTAACCTATACATTTTTCTGAAATTTTCTTCAGGAATAAAGAAAGGATCATTTGTGTCCCTCAAATACTTGCACATATTTCGACCTCGTTCTCTGCAAAATTAATACAAATAATTTTGCAATAAATAGTAGGTAGCAATAAACTAGGGTGAGGTTAGGGCTAGCACCTACATAAAAAATCCACCTACCTTCGTTCTAGCTCTGGTAAAATTTCTAACAAGTTGTTATTCCTATCCATCACTAATTATTATTTTACAATACACGATTAATTAATTATTAATAATTATTGTGACAGTGATATAAAATGCGTCGTCAGTTTTTAAGGATCTACCGTTTGTCCCTATTTCGATCGGCAACGAGTGCTCTGAGCGGTACCGTTCATGAACGATCAAATCGTAACAACTTGATCGCTTTGTAACGATCTCGCTTAGTTACAAAATCGGTTTTCGCTGACAGATCGTTGGCGGAACGAGAATCGAATTGTAACGATATCGCTACGAGATATAAAATAGGCCTGTAAGTCTCGCTAATTCAGTACAAGCAACTCCTATTCTGATTTTCTAAATCCATCAGTTTCTACCAATTTGCAACATTCCGAAAACAAAGGTGTTTCTGATCACTATAATAATGATGCTAGCAAAGTAAATCTAGAGCAACGTCAAAATATTGATATGTGTGTAGATGAGGTAAATGACAATGTAGAGGATGCAAGCCTCGATGCAAGGTCTTATGGAAGCTATAGTAACCAATCAGAGACACTTCTAATAATATAAGTGGTAAATTAAAGCTATTCTTTATTAAATATATCTAACTTGCCTAAATGTTGCATATTTTGCATCCTAGTCATCCCGAACAACCACTAGATGTAAGAACGTTTCTTCAGACACCTGCGAAAACGGAAATTATACACCTCATTTCTTCAAAGAATGGAAGGGCGAAATAATAAATCTTAAAATGTATTATTAAACTTCAACTGTCGTAAAATGAAGAGGTTCATTTTTAGTGCTTTGCAAATGAAACTTGATGCCGAAGAGCAATTCATTATCCAGTAACAAATTTTTGTAACGAGAAGCACTTCTAACAAAAGAAAATTGCAATTCGTTTAAAATTTATTAAGTTACAATTAAATAATCGCCAAAATGTTGAATGATTAAAATGCGAGAAGAAAGCTTAATTAAAATCTAAAGATAAATATGGTAAACTGTTTCTCAGCGCCCAAAGTTTTGCCTCTAGTTAGATGACAAGTTACTGAGCACTTAATTAATTTACTTGACAACACATTTCTACGCAAACTGATTAACATTATTCTTGGAAGTACTTTTCTGTCGAATATATACGATATCCATCATTTAGGAGATTAAAAAGGAGTTTTATTGTTCCGTCCATTGAATTATTTCCAAGTTCAGAAGTTTAGAAATAAGAAATAAACAAAAAGATATTTAAAAATGCATTATGTAACGAGCTAAAATTGAGTCCAACGTATGTGTAAACATTTGAAAATATATACAATGTTATATTATGGAGTCTCAAATTTAATTTATATCCTCCGAATATTCGCAAACAAATTTCAATCACAATTGAGATAGGTATACGTACATACGTGAATTGTGTATTTTTCGTTTCATTTCCTGTGCACTGCCATCATTTTTAATTGTTTAAAATCGTAACGCCACGTTTCAAAACCAAATTAAATTCTAATCATATGCCCTGTTGATTTACGCTATCAGTTTATGTCTTATGCAGATTTACAATTGGACAGTGTAATCCTATTTATTTGTTATACTATAAAATACTGCGACAAACCAAATAACCGATATTGAACTATTCGGAGGGTATCGGCACGACTTTCCGATTGTTAATCTTAATTCAAAAATGCCATAAAAACGTCATTAAACTACTGTGTTCTGCAAAATATTACTCGCTATAGATGGGTTTCAGCGGAAAGAGAAAGTTCTTTGCAACGAAATTTAGACATCGGAAACATTTCCATTTTTTTGCGTATAAGCTTTTATAAAATGACTATTTTTTGTGTTATATTTAGCTTGATAAATGTAAATTGCATACGCTAAAGATTATGTTATATCAAACTATAAGAATTTACATTATTTCCCATTCGTGTCGCTAACCAACACGCACCTACAATCCTAATTAGGTAGTCAGTAAAGGCACTTGCTTTACGTGACAAAGAGAACGAATCAAACCAGATTTATAGCAAGAAATAAAATGTGAAGTACATAATGAACCATGTACGTAGAGCTCATTAACCACCCTAATGGGCAATAGAGCGTCGTGTGAAAGTATCCTCATAAGCGGTTAAAGGTGTTACGGTTAGTAACGTGTGGTTCAGAAATTAAATGTAAGTCATTATCGAACTATAGAAGGGCTAAAATAGAACGCCTCTGAATTTAATCGTTGCTTGTTGATCTACAAAATTGCATTTATAGTGTTCAATTGATATATGCAGCTTACATTCAAAATGAAAACGAGATACTTCTAGACTTATACGAACATTTTGTGCGCAGATATGAGCATGTTTTTCTGCATCGAGGATCTCGTGGCGATAGGTTCATTATTTACAGGCCCCAAGGGTAATCGTTTACTAAGCGTTTACGAAGAGCGCATTTCCGTATTAACAAACAATTGAGAAGACAATACGACATTTAGTCCAATTCTGTAAAAAACTGTAAAAATTTTTCTTTTAATACTTTTCATTACGTATGTAGATTTGAAGTAATGGCTATAAGCTTTTTTATGTCTTACTAGCCTATCATAGCACATTTTATATCGGTGATACGCGGCCATAAAGTACCACTTTATGCCCTAGGGCATTAAGTATCACCATAGTAACTCATTTATACTTAATGACAAAACTAACAAATATTTGCAGGTGATTAAAAATTAGAAACGTCAATTATTAATTGTCAAACTAAATCACAAGATTGGCCTTATTTCGTATAGTTTCTGGAACTTCTTCCTCATTCACGATGAATTGAATTATTTAAAATTACGTTTGACGTTTGGATGGTTTCAATCACATTATCAAAAACGAACCACGCATACTCGATCAAACATAATGAATTATTTTGTAAACGAATTTTGACGAAGAAAAGTATTTGTAAAACATAAAATTGTGTATGTACCACGGGCATAAACTGATGTTTATACTCTCGGGCGACTAAAAAGCTCTCGGGCGACTAAAAAGCTCTCGGGCCATAGGCCCTCGAGCTTTTTAACTCGTCGCCCTCGAGAATATAAACATCACTATTATGCCCTTAATACATAAATAACTATTTTATTATTTTATAACATGTAATTATAGGCAACTAATTAAACATTTCTAGATTCATTTTTATCTAACTTGCTTGGTAATACACTTGAGAAGTTGTTATAGTTTGTTTGGTTTTGTCAAATAATTTTGTAATTCATTTTAATAAAAATTGATTTCTTAATAAATTCACGGAATTACATAATCAAGTGAACCTCCTTCACCAGACGTTCCTTATAGCTGGCGCCCGACTTAGCAGCCTAAGAAATCGGTGTTTTATTGGGCGTGTTTTTTAATTACTTAATGTAGACTACTTTTATTCCTTATAAAGTATACACCCACTTAGGGACTCCTTCAGTTATTTCAATGCGCTGGGAGCAGTACTTTCGTTCAAAATTTTAACAAATTTCTTAAGAGACTTTTCTTTGTAATCATGTAGAGCATGTTTTCCAAACCTCGCCACTTCCAAAAATAAACAAAAAAAATTCGATCCACCCTTGTGCATGCGCAGTGCTAACTTTCTTATTTGTGGATGGATTTTTTTGGGTAAATTGCTGAAAACGAATTTGGCTGAGGTAAATAATATTTTCAGACAAAGATTGTTAATGTGGAAACGCGCTTTTTGTAAATCGTTCACGATTACTTTTTGAACTTGTTTGATATAGACCGCATATTGTGCTTCGAAGGAAATGCTAA